GGGTCTTTCTCTCTGAGTCTATTCCTCAAGCAGAAGGCAGCTTCCTGGAGATAAGGACTGTCTGTCACACCAGCATCCCTGGGACATAGCACAACTTCAGACACAGACACCTCTCCACAACAGAGTCTGAATGCTTCGGATTCTATAAAGTGCTTCTTTAACATCTTCATTTTTATCTTGATTTTTTTTTTCATTTCTACTGTTCCTTTCCTGCTTTTCTTCACTGGCATTCCCTTTTCCTTTCTCATGTCTAACCTAAACACTGGTTATGTTTCCGCAATCAGAACTTTGCTGATGTTATGCTTTAAAACACTTCAAACACAACAATGAAAACGAATGACAAAAGGCATAAATAATGCTACTTTTTTCTTAGCATTTCATCAAGGCCAGGCCCTAGGTTCAGTGCTTTTTTTTTTTCCTTGTTTCATAACACAGCATCCAGGAATCCCCCACTGAGGTAAAGTGGAATATTCTAGAAAAGTAATACAAGCAATTTTCAGCTTCCTAGTGACCCACTTTCTTTGTCTGCCTGAACTCTTCTCCTTAATTTCTCAGTGACAGCCCCACCACACAGGAAGAAAGAAGGTAGGAGCTAATGAGATTAAGGGCTTCAAACCTAAGGGTTAAAACAAGGTGAGGGGCAGACATTAGCAACGCCTTCTGTGGTCCCCATTAACCGAGGTGATTGAAAAGGAAATGGAAAGAATGTGTCAGCTGATGCCAAAGCGTTACTGCGGCTCTTCTCTCAACAGGCATCAAGCACAAGCACAAGCACAAGGCGCACACAAATGCTTCCCTTAAACCCTCCCCCTGCCCCCAGCTTTTTTCTGACACTGGACAATTACAAGAACCATTGAGCCTCCTGGTGTCAATCACAATGGCCAGCACCCTTTTAATATGTCACTGTGCAAAGCACTGAAAGTTTACATATGATTGGAGAGTATGTTAGTGCATTTGGAGTGCAATAATAAAATATCATAGACTATGTGGATAATAAACAGAAATGCATTTCCCATAGGTCTGGAGCCTGGAAGTCTGAGATCAAGGCACTGGCAGATTTGGTGTCTGGTGAGGTCCTGTTTATTGGTGCACAGATTGGGGCTTCTCGCTCTGTCCTCACAAGGTGGAAGGGACAGAAGCACACCCCTGGGTATATTTTATGAGGTACTAGTCCCATTTGTGAGGACTCTACCTTCATGACCTAAGTCTTTGAAAAGGCATCATTTCCTAAAGCATCACTATAGGGTGGGGATATTTCCACATAAGAATTTTTGGAGGGCAACATAAGCATTCAAATCAAAACAAGGAGAGAAAGATTCTGGGATGGGTAGGTGTGACCTCCTGCCTCCATGTGAGCACAGACATTGCTAGATGGTCACTATGGCCACATTATGGTGACCAAAGTGCTGGCATGAAGTATCCAAATACATACGCACCACATTAAGTACTTGTGCAGCAAAGGTTCATTCTTTCTCGCTCTTGCAGATTGGATGAATGTCTGTTTATTAGTTTGAATTCTGTAAAGGCTGATATTTCATTTTATTTATATGGCAGGTTTCAGTCTATTAATATCAAGCCTATTTGTGCAGTTACCTCTTCAACTATTTAGGTCAATTTTCATTATACTTGGTTTCCAAAATTTACCAGAAGAGGGCCGGGGAGATGGCTCATTGGAATAAGCGCTTCCCTGGCAAGCACAAGGGCCTGAGTTCAATCCTTGGTTCTGAAAAAAAAAAAAAAAAAAATTACCAGAAGAGAGACCGAGTTGTTGTTTCAGATGGATCACTTCATCGTCCTGTTTTGGAAGCCTATTCTGGCTTCTTTTGGGCCAACGAAGAGCGCACCCATTTCCAGACCTACAATCACATTAATGCATATGCTCCATGCAGACAATGCGTGCTCCCCACCAGCACAGCATCGAAGGGCCAGCAAAGAGGACAAGAGAAAAAGGCACCTACCCTTCTCTTGAGACTCTGGTCTATTGGTGTGCCGAGCCAAATTTTTAATTTGGAAAGCAGTTTTTCATAAATGAACACAAAGTCCTTTCTAAACATTTTAATAAGAATAACCCCCCTGAGCCAATATGCAATTGAATGCATTGCTTTCTAGTAATTTCACTTACACAACAGCTCCACAAGCTGTTTCTCTCTCCATATTCAGATAACCCTTGCCTCTAGGGTGACCATAAAAATGATATTTTAATAATGTGCCACATCTGTGATTAGAAATACTTAATGAAACACTCACATGATCAGATGGTGACAAGCTTCAAAGAACTCTTCTCCAGATTCAGCCGGAGCCAGCGTGCAGCTTGGGCCAGCTTCCACAGGCTCGTGCTTCCATATTGCCTTAAGGAAGTCATGCCTAACAATAAGCTCTTAGAACAAAGTCCAGCTTTTATTTCAGCCCTGAGGCCTGACCAGTTTTGTGCAACATAGAGAACAGGACTCTTCAACAAAAGTATCACTGAGTTGTGTGTAACACTTGACTTTTTCTAATTGCCATATTAAGAAAAATATAAGATTAGGGTATGGCCCAATAAGCATGCACAAGGCCCTGGATTCCATTCCTAGCACGGAACACACACACACACACACACACACACACACACACACACAGATAAATAAATAAATAAATAAATACCAATGAAATTAATTCTAATAAGATGTTTTATTCAACGCAGTATATCCGCAAGATTAGACGTTTATTGTACAATTAATATAAAACTATACTGTTGTTTTGTACTTTCCACCATATTATCTTCAAAATCCAGTATGCATTGTGTATCACAGTGCATCTCTGTTCAGAGGAAGTGGATCTAGGGGGCCCAGGAGCCACATAAACAAGTAGCTGCTGTATTGGGTGGGGGCAGCACCAAAGCACACATCTCATGAAAGGGTGGTATGCAGCCATCAACTTCAAGGAAGACCTGGGCGTCCTCCTAAGAATGTGAATTCCTAGGTCCTATCCCAGACCTTCCCAGTCATAGCTCTGAGATGATACTAAAGAGGTTACATTTAAAAAAAAAACAAAAAACAAGTTCCACAGCTGATACTTTTACTTGCTAGAGTCTGAGAGCACCTGTTAGGCTCCCTGTCCCAAATTTGCTTATCAGCCCTTACAGCTGTCACAGCGGTGGTCCCAGAACTTTCCACCACATGCCACATGACCAAAAGGACAAGTACACACCATTGTATGCCAGGTCTGTGCTGAGCCTAACCAGTAAGCAAAGCCCTGTCCTTGTCATAAGAGTGGATAATGGTTCCTTTCTTGCTTTGCTCTGATTTCTTTCTATCTCCCTATTTCTCCCTTTTGGAATGGGGTTGTCTACCTTGTGCTGTGGTATGTTGGCAATGTTTAACTTTGCCTCCGATTGTTAGAAGGGCTCAACTAAAAGTTTGCTTTGAGTCTCAGAGGGGACTTTGGACTTGGGCTTTTCAGCAGTGCTGACACTGTTGAAGCTTCACAAGTACAAAGTCCCTATGATGAATGTGATCATTGTGTATACCTAAATTGTACTGATAAGCTTAACTTAAAAAACTCTTAAGTGCATTTTGCTTAAAAAGATGAGCATGAGTCTTTGGAGAATAAAAGATGAAATGTTATGGTTTGAATCAAGAAGACAAACCCCCCCCACTGTGCACATGTGCAAACTCTCATGCATTCAAAGGCAGGTATGGCCTGGAAAGGTGAGTCTACCCCCTCCACTCTACATGTACGCTTTCCTCTTTCTGGCCACTGTGACATGAGAAGCCTCTCTTCTGCCATGCTCGTGTTCTGCCATGTAGCCTACTGATCATGAGCCAAAATAAATGCAGCCCCTCTTTAAGCTGTGATTGCTGAGTATTATGTCTCAGTGATAAGAAAGTGACTAAGACCAAGATTTTCACCAAAGTCAACCTTTCAACCTTAGACTTTCCAGCCCCTAAAACTATAAAAATTTTCTCTTTATAAATTATCCAAGCTCAGGTTCTGTACTCTGTATAATGCAGCACAAAAGAGACTGAGGCAGAGCTTTCCCCTTGAACTGAAAGATCTTTGTGTCTTGTCCAGGAGGACCAGTGATCAGACCTCAGACCACACCAGGCGCCAAGTCCCATCAATTCCACTCTCCACATGAGCCACTTAGGGAGAAATAGGGGAGGTTCGCTCTCTTCCTAAGCTGGTGGTAGCATGGTACTCAGCAGGAGAGAAAGAAGGTCTGCATATTGCTGCCACCTCAACTAGAAAGCTCAGTTCAGATGCACTTGATTGCTCTGCGAGAGATGGTCTTTCCCCACTGAGCTCTTTACCCCACAGATACCCCATGAGGCAGTGATCGGATTACTGCAAATGTGTCCACAGTGTGGGAAGTGGATCAACATCCATACTTCACTAAATACTACCAGCCAGTAACTCGTACGCTCATCTGTTCATTTTTCATTTGTAACCACTCTTGGGTGACACCTTGCACTACTTCAGGCTTTCACATGCAATTGCGATACATTGTGAACTTCATAGGATGCTAATTGTTGGGCACAAAGTCAGAGTATAAAGGTACTGACCCTATTCATACAATCTGTGTTATTGACTGCTTGGACAATAACAGACCCTTTATGAAGTCTCTGTCCATAGGGTTGATAATGTACTTTTATTACCATTTAGATAGCAGAAAATAAATTACTTCAACTATAGAAGTATAACCCCCAAAACAGGCTGGCCAAATAGCTCAGCGGATTAAAGCACCTGAAAGCAGGTGCAGGGGCCAGGGGTTAGATCCCCAGGCCTGCCAAGCTGGCTCTGCCCCTGGGGCGTGCTGAGACAGCAATTGAAACTGGGCATGGTGGCACATGGCTGTAATCCCAGTTCTTGGGAGGCGATAAACAGGCAGATCACTATGAATCCGATCTAGTAGTGATACCCTGAACACCCTGCAGACGCTTCCCTAAAATACAAAAAAATTAAAATTAAAATAAAAAAAAAACAAAACAGAGCCATCAGCCTCAGATTTGTCTGTGAATTTTATTTTAGGAAAACATACATGGTTACAGGGCATCTTTAAAAAGAATGATACATCATGAAACATACAAAATGGGTTTGAATAATAAATCTGGGGCCACCATTTCTTTTCTTCCCAGAAAAGCAAGGTTAACTCAAGCTGTGAAGCCCACATGACCATCAGATTTACAGCTATCTAAAGAGAAGCTAAATCCTGCAAAGGGTTGAGTTATGACGGCTTCTAGGTATTGATCAGTTGAGAGTGCCAGCCCTGAACTCAGCCATGTCAGGGAATGAGGAGGAGAGGGGAAATGGTAGTGGTTATGGTCTTTATGTAGTTTTCAAAGTCACTTCCAAAAAGTAGGATGAGGTAGTGGTTCAGTATACCAGCAAGAGACATGAGGAACAGGAACAGGATGATGCGCTTCCCAAATATGTAGCCAGGGGTGCTGGAAAAGAAGGAAAGAGAAAACTGTAGATGCAGCGGAAATGATATCCATTCACAAGAAAAGTGTCATCATTTCCTGATACTCGGGGCTGACATTACAACTCCTTCTGCTCAACAATGCTTCATTTACCCATTTACTTCACACAAAAGGTACAAACATCTCAGCTACTGCTGAACATATTTCAAAGCCAAAGTGAAGGACGTAGGCTTCAAAACCAATCATCAATGGAACCCAGCAACACCAGTTTCTCTGCATTTTCCTGACAGCCTTACACCCAGTTCCATGAGGGTGGCAGGGCAGTGGGCCTGTTGGTTACCAGTTAATACAACTGAAGGTTAGCTGTACCCTCAGTAAAGAAAGCTCCTGTCTATGGTATCTCATCTCAAGGAGTACCTGTAAGGATGCCCCAGTTGGTAGCAGTGTTAGAAGGGCTGGTCTAAATGCGCCAGTAAAGCTGAAAGGTGTTTTGGTATCTAAGGTTCATATATATTCTCCTAAGGCTGACTGGGAAGAACTCATGTTCTATTAATGAGAGCTGAACACCCAGCAATGGAAGATGGGACCTTACATTATTGAGTGGGGGCACAGGGACCTTTTAATACATTCATATCTTTCTCTCAATGCTCCTAAATCCTTAGCTGCTTACACAGAGCATCAGCAGGACTCAGGAAGCATTTCCCCCAGTGACATCTGGCTACCTAATTGCATGCAGAGGCAGCCCTGTGTTCTTTCACCCTCTGCAGATTCCCGTGCCTGCTGTGGTTGGGCCCATCTGAGCAGAGCTAGCATGTCTGTGTTTAGAAAGTGCAGTCAAATAGCTCGTTAAGGTTGTCAGCTAAGACCCAGCAAGGGCATCCTTTGACACTGGGATCGCTCAAACAGAACAGCCGACTCAGCTAAACAAGAAGGCTAGCACAGCTGCAGGCTGCTTCTTGCTACAGTTAGACAGAGAGCAGAATTTGGCATCCATAGGTTTCAAGTTAGAAATTTTATCTATTCAAAGGTAACCCCAAAGCTGTATAACATCACATAATTTTCCTATGAGCCAGAGTCTGAAAGTCACTCAGCACTTAAGATCAAACTCTTGGTTACTCCAAGTGTGATTTGTGTGGCAAAGCAGCAACATCTGCCCAGAATTTACTAAAATGGAAAAATCTCAGGTCCCTCTCAGACCTAAGGAACTAGAACCTACACTTCTACAAGCTCTCTATGTGCCTCTTGGAAAGTTCTAGAAGTGCCACAGGATGATGCCTCCTTGCTCCTCTATGAGCTTTGTTCTTATCCCTGCGGTCACCTGCTGTTATGGTTGATACACTAAGTCAACTTGAGAAGTTTAGAAGTTTAAGTGACTGAGTAGGAGGCCAGGGTCTTCACTTTGTAAACATCCTGAGCTTGTAGAAGAAGAGGGCATGGAGATGTTTTGGGTGGGTAGCAGTGCACAATATAAGGGAAGAAAAGAGGCTTACTTCCCCCACTTGTGCTCTTGCGGCTTTTGATGTCTTCTGCCTCCTTGAACCACTACCCCTGTGCCATACCACCCTGCATTGGAGCCAACTGATTATGGACTGAAACCTCTGCAAACTGTGAGCTAAATAAACCTTTTCTCCCTTAATTTGGGGTGCTGAGTATTTTGTCTCAGTAACAAGAAAAAGTTACAAAGATAGTATGGAAAAGGAACAAATGATATCTGAAGTCTCTTTCAAATTTGTTTCTATGTTAAAAGCTCCTAATTAGTAGCCACTCAAAAATGAGCTTTATTTTTAATCACATTGGACCTCCATCCATATTTGTCAAACAAATGAACCACTCTCAGGAGGGAGGAGTGGACAGCTTGGTTCCCAAACTCCAGCACATACAACACCACCTAAATGTTGAAATGCAGGTTCCCAAACTTTCCCACAAAGAGATTCTGACTCTGTAAACCCAGGTTGAGGCCCAGAAATCTGTATTTTTAATAAGCACTTCCAGATGGTTCAAGCAAAGTTGTCAAGTTGACCTCACTTTTATAAACAGCAGTCTTGATATTTACCCATGCACCTAGTGTTTCCAAAAGAATCAAGTTTACTCTTGAACTTTAGTGAAGTAACACATTTGGAGGAGCAGGGAGACTCTAAGATAATGATATTGGAAGACAGAAATGCCTGGAGGGGACCAATGTTTTTGCATTTTAAAAATTAGATCTACTGTGTGTATGCCACATACAATCTGTATCCACTAATAAGCTCTTCTAACATACCCCTGACTTTAGGTGACCTGGACTCTGTGATGTTTGCTGTGATTTACTTAGCAATTGACATGGTTCCTGGCACAGAGTGGGTATTCACTGAGTAGATGCTGAGTGAGTGAAAAGCAGGTGAGCCACAAGGAGAAGTGACCTCAGGTCATTGTCTCTTAAGAGTCACCAGAAGCTGTGATCTGAACATGTCCCCCAGAGGTCATGCACTGAAGCTCAGTTGCCAGAGTGCCCACATTTGGAGGTAGGGCCATTAGGAAGTGACAGCATCATAATGGAATTAGGGAGCTCATAAAGATATTGAAAGGAGCCCCTGAGGCCCCAGCACTTCTGTCTTCTGCCCGGACAAGGGGAATGGGGACAAGGCACAATGTTGGGAGCAGCCCTTCCCAGACACACCACCTATCACTGCCTTGATCCACTTTCATCAAGAAAGAGACCCACAGGTGAGGACATACATTAATACAGCTATAAGGAAAATATTATATAAGTGTCCCAGACCATTATAGAAATCGGTATGGAGATTTCTCGAAGAACTGAAGTTAAAAATTCTGTATGACCCAGCTATTTCCTGCAAAGTTTCTTCCCTAAAGAGCTTAAGACATCATACTTGCCTACCTGTGTTTATAACAGCAAAATTCATAGTAGCTAAATCCTGGAGGCAGTCTACTCATCAACAGATGAGTGGATAAGGAAAATGTGTTATCTACATATAATAGAATACTACTCAACTATAAAGAATGACAGGAGACCCAGTCCTAGCCCAGGTCCGGTGACTGTGTGGGAGAGCTTCTGGCTACTCTGCACCAGCGGGACCGACTCCTGGTCCCAGCCCAGCCACAGCATGGGTGAGACCATTTTCCACCCCCTTGGGACACCCCACACCACTCCGTGGCACAACTCCCACCCCAACCACTGAGTAGGAATTTATGCCACGTTCCGGGAACCCAGAGACCCAGTCCTAGACCAGGTCCGGTGAGTGTGTGGGAGAGCTTCCAGCTACCCTGCACTGGCGGGACCGACTCCTGGTCCCAGCCCAGCCACAGCATGGGTGAGACCCTCTTCCACCCCCTTGGGATGCCCCCACCACTCCTCAGAACCTCCCCCACCCCAACCACTGAGTAGGAATTTCTGCTGCTTTCTGGGAACCCCCAGACCCAGTCCTAGCCCAGGCCCAGTGAGTGTGTGGGAGAGCTGCCTCTCCCCCTTACTCCACCTTGTCCCCTCCAGGCTCAGCTCAGGCCTGGCATACAGGCCTGGGGTGCAACCCTGCAGCTGCAATCCCTACAGAAAGGGTAGAGGATAGAAGCACCCAGCTAGTCCAGGAGCAGAACATCTTGCCACAGGGGCACAACAGGTTCACCATCAAGGGCAGCATCAGGAAGGAGCTGAGCACAGCAGCCAGACCCAAGCCAGGCACAGCTGGATAAATCCAGACTTTGTAGATCTGCACCTGAGCTTCAGTATGTGCTAAGGTTATAATTACAACAAAGGTCAGAAGACAGTGCTACACAAAATGACAAGAAGGAACAAAATGCAACCTCAGAACCCAACCCCACCTGTAAAAAGTGCAGAGGACACTAACGCAGAACAAATTGGGAACCACACAGCTGAAAGCAATGAATCAATGGCTTCTGAAATAAAGAAACAGCTGCAGAAAGATATAGAGGAACTCAAATTGGAAATAAAAAAGAAATCCCTGAATTAATAAAATCTGCAGTAAAGAATCAAAGGCAGAAACATATGGAGGAAACCCAGTGCCCACCCACAACAAGTGCGGAGGACACTAGCTCGGCTCAAATGCATGAATTAAGAGCGTCGATAGTAAATAAGCAACAGCAGAAAGATATAGAGGAAATCAGAGCACAACTCTTTTCTGAAATAAAAAAAGTATTCTCAGAACTCATAGCATCTGAAGTAAACAAGCAACTACAGAAACATAGGGAGGAAACCCAATCTGAAAAAAACACTGCAGTAAAAGAATTTATAACTGCTTCTAAAGAAGACATTGATTAAAAAAAAAAAAAACAATAGAGGAGATTA